GCCCGCCACTCGTTGCCATGAACGCCGTCGTGCTCGCCTCCGTCGGATGCGAACGCCTGGCCCACCTCAACTTGCTCGGCCGACTGGCTGGCTTGTCGCCGCCTCTCACGGCGCCGCCGTCCCCGCCCCTGCTGCAGCAATCTGCTCCACGTGTGCGTCGAAGTCGTAGGGGGGGAGAGCGAGATTCCTCCTCGCCACCGCCAGGGGGGAAGGTCCTTGTCGGCCAGATCTGCGGCGAAGCCTGTCGCCGAGCCACGTCACCTCCGACCCCATCCTGGGCGGCCAGCTTTCCAAGAGCAGCCCTCGCAGATGCCGGCTCCCCGCAGGTATCCTGCACCTGCGCCTGCAGCCGGCGAACGGCAGCGTCGGCAGCCGAGGCCGCAGCACGCTGCGCAGCGCGGCGAGCACCAGCAGCACGCCGCAAGGGGCTCGGACCTCCTACCGTGAAGCCGTCGCACATGCCATGGACCAGCCACCCGATTTGATCCCAAGTGGCGGAGCCACCAGGCCATATGAACCAGCGGCTATGGCTGCCAGGCACCTGCTGGCACGAGCCACAACGGCCAGGGAGAGTGGGGAGGGAGGGAAGGACCCAGAGTAAGCCCAGGATGCATCAGAGACGCTGCAATACACCCTTCCGTCCCAGAGCCCCTCATCATGAGGCCCTCCTTGCGGGAAGCCCCCTTGAGATGCGAGATCCCCGTGTGATTGCTGTTCAAACGAGGCACCGCCGACCAAGTACCATCTCTGGTTTTACGGAGCGCCGCGGGGTAGGGTCGTGTAATCCAAGGAGGTGTCCAGCGACAGGCCCGTCTTGAACTCAAAGGCTCCCCATCAATATGGCAGTTGCGCATTTTACACTTCGGCCATGGAGAATGGGAATGTTGAGGCGAGAGCCCAATTTTGATAAGGAACCGCTTTTCGTCGATACTGCTGTTGCGCAATGCTTATTTGTGTGTGTGTGTGTGTTCTTTTTACGGAGTGAAAAACTGCAAAGTGAGAGAGAGAGAGAGAGATACAGAAAAAGAGCGGTTCATACGGATATACATATATCTCCATACACATGTATATATATATATATATATATATGTATGAATATGGGCACATGAACACATATACATATGTAGAGAGAGAGAGAGAGAGAGAGAGAGAGTGCGAGAGAGAGAGACAGAGAGAGAGAGAGACAGAGAGAGAGAGAGAGAGCGAGAGAGAGAAAGAGAGAGAGGGTGGAGACGACAGGCAGTCAGACAAACAGACAGACGGACAGGGAGAGAGAGCGAGACAGAGAGAGATAGAGCCAAGACTTGAGAAGGAGCCGCCCTCGATCGTTCTCATGTTCGCGGATCTCCAGACGAATGTCCGTGGAGTTGAGGCGAGGGCCATCTTCGGAACAGGAGCCGCCGCGGATCCCTGCAAGCAGCAGCTGGAAGCTGCTCAGGCGAACGTGAACGTGTGCGGCGCTGGGACGATCGTCACATTCGGAAAACCACCCGCCCTCCATACTTGTAGCAGTCGGCAGCTTTAAGGCGACCTTGCGCGGCACCGGGGCGAGAGTCGCACCGGAGCACCACCCACCCTTCACCCCAGTAGTCGTCGGAGCCTGTCGAAGCGAATGTGACGGCGCGTTAGTTTTCGAAGAGCCACAATCGGAAACTCACCCGTCCTTCATCCGTATAGTTGTTGGAAACTTTGAAACGAGTGCGCGTGAGACTGAGTCGAGAGCTTCTTTGGGAACGCGGGCCGCCTTCGTCCTTGTAGCCGTTGGGAAAAGGTCAAGCTGCAGCGCCCTAAGTGGTGGGGGAATTCTCGGGCGAAACGCCCGGGTCACCCCTACCGACACGATTGGTGTTAAGACGAGCAGGGTTCATTTACACGCAAGGGGGATGGAGGACGAGGAGCAGGGGAACGGGGCAGAGCGAGCTGTTCTCTCATGTTTCCGTCGCCTCGCCCGCAGGACTTCTGCTGCGAGGAGCAGGAGTGGAAGGGCAGCGGATGTCCGTTCAACTGCGAGGCTGCTCGACACGGGAGCCGTGATGCGTTTTTAGGAGTCAGCAGGGGGGATGAGTTTGACGACAAGGAGCAGGAACGGGCGGAGGGGGAGCGAGGGGGACCAGAATTGCGAGGCTGCTGGACCCCCTTTCTTCTTTTTTAATCCCCCTTTTCCCCTCCTCCCTTCTCCTTCTCCCGCAGAAGCTCTGAATCTTACTGTTGCCCTTCTCTCCCCAGATTATGTGAGACATGGCGGCGTATTTCCCGCAGTCTGCGCGGGCCTCATGTCTGGACGCGATGCCATCCTCGGCGTTGTCGGCCTCCCTCCTCTCCCCTCTGCCAGCCTCTCGCTCACCTGCGCAAGAGCGAGACCTGGAGGAGGCGTGGCAAAGGTCTCCATCCGAAGGGGGACGGGGCCTCGGTCTAGCTCTTTTCTATCTGTCCCATCCGGGTGGGGTCCTGGACCGTGGATGTCCAGCGAGTCCCCTCCCCTCTCCCGCCCTCCCCTGCTCCTCCTGCTCCTCCCGCTCTTCCCGCTCCTGCTCCTGCTCCTGCTCCTCCTCCCCCTCCTTCCACATCTTCTTCCTCCTCCTCCTCCTCCTCCTCCTGCTCATCCTCCTCATCCGCCGCCTCCCCCTCCTCGTCTTTGCGCATCGCATAACGGGGTTATCGTGGGGACCCAAATCCTCTAGGACACCCGTCGGCGGATACAGCAAAGATCAGCGCAACGGGAAGATGTGTGTGGGAAGGGTCGGATGTCAAATCCGGTGCGCGCACCTGGCTTGTCTCCCCCCCCTTTCACACGCTTCCTCTCCTCCTCCGCCTTCTCCTCCTCCTCCGCCTCGTCCGCCTCGTCCGCCTCGTCAATTCCAGTATATTTTGGCCGCTTTCGGCTTCAACGTCGGTTC